ATGCTTGGTGGGGCGGGTGCGGACCGTGCAAGAAGATATCACTTTCTTGTTGGCCTATTTTCCGCCGAGAACGACAGATGGCGAAGCAGTCAGTCTATAGACGAACAGTGGAAGCATTACTACATTGGTTACAACAGGAGCTTTCGGCGTGCCCATCGCGATCTGTGCCTGCACTGATGATGGATCTGAGCGATGGCATTGGGCAGACTGCAGGCAATTCTTTGGTATCGGAGGATGGTACGGTCCTTGCTGCAGGGGCATCCGAGGAACACTACATGGGGGCTTCTGTTCGCAATCTGTTGAGTGATCACCTTTTGGAAGCCACATTGGCACGCTCGGGGTTGGACGCCTACTATAGGGCGGTCCTCCTCGCACGTCGACTTTGGTTGTGTTCCTGCTAGCTCTGGAGACGCCGTGCTGCGAGCGGGTGCTATGCTGTGCAGTGGGCGTCAGCTGCAGTTGATACGTTTTTTTTTTTTTTTTTTTTTTTTTTTTTTTTTTTTTTTTTTTTTTTTTTTTTTTTTTTTTTTTTTTTTTCCTCGCAGGCGATCTCACGTTCTTGCGCTAGTGGGGATTAGGCTCCCCTCGAAGCTGCAAACATCAAGTGTCGTCGGCCATGCTCCGCCTGTGTCTGGGTCCAAGAGGTTGAGCCATGATGCAGGATGGCTGCGCTTCGAGGGGGGCCTTTGCACAAAAGACTTCCTGGATTCTATAGAGAGTAGGTTGGCGAACGGGGGCAACTTCTGGGATATCCTAGCTGCGCAGCCTGAGCCTGGTGCATTGTTTCTGCATCTCGAAACGGTTCTGGTGGCGGAGGAGGGGGAGTTTTTATGTTCCGGCTCCGCGCCTGTTCCAGAGAAGCGTGAGATGGATAACGCAAGGGGGAGCTAGTGGCAAGGGGGAAGGTCCTGATGATGAGGCTCCAAGACAGCGCGGGGGAGGAGGATGGGGGAGGGGGGGGGGGGGGGGATCAAAGGGCAGCCCAGGGAGGTCGCCAGAGAATCCTACGTGCCCCACAGCAAAGCTAGACAACTTCTCACGGAATAACCTCTTCAGCCTCCACATGCTACAGACTGACGCAATGTTGTGAGATTTGCTAGGGCTGCTGCGTGTACTAGATTAGGACCGTAGAAGCGGCGTGTCTGGAAGTTCGCACGGATTTTCCTGATCGCTGTGAGCAGCTGTTTTCTTAGTCGGCGCAGGGGGCCGCTGGAGGCATGGCGGCTTGAAGAAGCGTCGCCAGGGTTTGAACCGAACATTCTGCCATCTGAATTCGGAACAACTCTTGGTGTGAGGGGCAAGGAGGCAGCGGTGGAGGACGTCTATCGGGGTTCCCAGCGCCTTCGCCGGCGCCAGAAGGGGCGCTGCCCTCCGCCCTGGTCTGCGCCGATTGAGCTGCGAGGTATGGCGCTCTCACTTGGGGCGGGAGTTAAACCAAAACAGAGAACTGCTGGGGTGGAGGCGCCGTCGATTGGGATATCGACTTTGTTTATTTTTTCATTTTCCAAGGATGCTGGGGGATTGGGGCGAGTGGTGGTACTTCTTGCTTTTTGCGCTGTAGCAAAACAAAACGACAGGGCTCGAGAAGTTGGATGGGGGAGGGGCACAAGTGAAAAAAGTGGGTTCATGTGTAACCTAGTTTTGGGAATGCTTTGTATGAGAGCATGGTGAAGCGATCTTGATTGAGAGGCGATGCTCGTGGTCATGAAAACGGGGCGGTTCGAAGAAACTCCCACGCTTGTGGCTTGTCTGCTGGCCTGGCGGGCTGCGCAGCGAGGGGTCTCGGTGGCGCGGCGGTTTTGCTGCGACCGACGCTCTCGGAAGCAATGGGGTCGATTGCGAGAGGCGCGCGCTGACTTATATGGCGCCGCGGCAGGCGCAGGCCGAACAGCGAGTGGACTGTGCTACGATTGCTGTCGCTTGTCATGTTGGGGGGCTTTTCCTGGGACCAGAGTGTGGGGTGCTGATGGGGGTCGTTTGATGGTGGCCGCATGGGCGAGAGCATATCGGCCATCTTTCACAATGGAAGCGTTCTCTGGTCGGGGAAGGGGTAGACGCGGGGCAGCTTGAAGAGGCGAATTCAATTATCTCTGGGCCTGTGGATCTGGCTGGCTGTCAGTGCGCCAGTGACATGTTAAGAACGCATGCCGCCTTGACCTTTGACGTGCTGTCGGAGCTTGGCGAGAAATTGCAGAGAGCCTCGGAGTTGCTCTCGATTGCTCTTGGTGCGCGCAGAACGTGTCAAAGCTACTGCGTCGAAGGCTCACGTACAGGCCATTCGGCCACCGAGGATGAGGGGGGTTGTTTTCCCGGGCGACGTGGCGCAACAAGCCCGGTTCTTGGGGGCGCAGTTCGAGGGGGGTGCCAGGTTGGCTCGCGCGTGTGGTGCCGAACAAAAGCGAGACAAACTGCTGCGTCTCGGGCTCTTTGCCCCCCGGGGCAGATGCGGTTTCTTCCTGGGGCGCCTTGTCGCCTGAAGCGTGCGCGGTTGTTCTCGCGCGTGGTGTCGACGGCTTTGCACTGCGTGGCGGTGTTCTTTCCGTCGAAGGCGCAGCTTCGCCCGTTGCTGGCGCGCGTGGGCGGTTTCGCGCGGAAGGCTGCGAGGGGGGGGCGGGGGGGGGGGGGGCTCGCGCGGAGGAGGCGGGCAAGCACGCGGCTCTTTCGAGCGAGGTTGTTCGCGCGTTTGGGCGCCTGCCTCCTCGAAGCAGGGTGCGACGGCTACGTGGGTTGCAAGCTTTTACTAGAGGCCCAAGTAGACGTGCTCAGTGGTTGACAGTGCACTTCTGGCGACTGCCCTGGGAACCTGAGGCTGCGATGGATCAGCGAGGGCGGGTTCTTGCGGGGGCCAATCCGTGGGCTGGGGCAGTTTCGGAGAATCGAGGGGCCATGAGGCCCTATGAGGGCGCCCAGTGGTTTCTTGAGGGGCTCAGAGATAAGTGCGACAGAGGGGTGGGGCGGTTTTCTTGGATGCTGAGCTTCACGAAGCTTCTCGGCGTATAGATGTGTCACTGCTTAGGAGCTTGGATGTCCAGTGCCCCGCGCGGAAGCAAGGTGGTGCTAGACTGGGGGAGAAGGAGGCGGGGGGGCTGGGAGTGCTTCGCGAATATGGCAGAGGGGGAGAGGTGCGAGGCGGCCTTGTCTAGCGCAGGCAGTTGCGCGCTCGCTTTCAGACGCGTCATCGTAGGTAGCTTATCTACGCGGAAGTTGTGCTTGCCAGCCATTGTCCGCATTGCAGAGAAGTGTTCTGGGCCAGACATACGGCGCGTCGGCGTGTTATTTTTCAGGCCGCCACGTCCTCGGGCGCATGCGCGGACAGGTTTTTTAGGGCCAGTGGTTGAGCCTTCTCCGCTGAAGTATGCGCCGTGTGATTTTGCGGCTCGAGATCTTTCGGGGCTTCGCGATCATCTCGCCACTTGCGTACCACCTCGCGCTCATGGGGCTGCCCGAGCCTGCGCGGGCTCTCGAGAGGGCGCCAGGACGGGCGGCCACGGGGGATCAGCGCCGCCGAGGGTTGATCGAGGGCGCGGCAGGGGAGAGGGGGGGGGGCGCCACGTGCAGCTCGAGCGTCTGGTCAAAGTATTGGCGGCCTTAGCGCTGACGCAGGCAGCTGAGTTGGGATATCTCGTCGTCGCAGTCCATCGTGTTTTTCGACCCCAGCCAGTTTCGCCATCGCAGAGGACATGCCGGCAGCGGGGGTCGACTACCGCAGGCAGGTCAAGGCCGCCATGGTCGGGCCGCCTGTCCCATGCGCATTCATGGCAATGGTGCAGGCGGCCCATGGCGCGAAAGATTCCAAGGGCCATCATTGAGCAGAGATCAAGAGTCTCTGGGACGAAGTCATAATGAATAAGTAGATCGAGGCGGTGGCGGCGATTATCCATCGCTACAGGTGCCGCCCGACAAAATAAAAGGAACAATGCCGAGTTCGTGAGGGTGGCGGTCTGCTTCTCGACGGAGTGGTACAAGTCGGAGGAGGCAGTGTCGAGCGCGCTGGTGAAAACAGGAGCGCCCCGCGAGGTCGGGCCGCCACCGAGAGGCCCTCTCGAAAGGGGGGCGGCGAAGCTCCTCGAGGAGCTGAAGTAGGACGGCGTGCCACGGTGAGGGCGGATAGAGCTAGGACTGATGCCTTTTTTTTGACCCGATCTTCCCAGGAGTCAGGAGGCGGACGACTCGGAACATTTGGGTCGTCAAATGTTGGAGCAGGATGCCGAATGTTTGAGGCTGTTTCGGAGATTAGACGGTTGGCATTTTTTTCGGCACGCGTGGCCGAGCTTCCGAGAGACGGCCGTCTCGACCCAGGTCTGGCCCTGGCATTCTCGAGGGATCGGGAGGGGTCTCGTCGGTCGTGTCGCGGGAGGGAGGGGCGGGGGGCGGAAGGGATAAACACTGTATGTGCGTGCTACGGTGAGGGCGCTCGTTAAGGAATGGCCCCAGGAGGCGCCAGACCCTGGAGGATTCCTTATCAGATGAGGGCGGCGGTGACATCCATGGCCGATCCACGATTGGAGTCCCACTGGTTTCCTGGCGGCTGTAAGCGCTCTCGCGGCCCTCCGCCTGCCCTGCCGAATGCGTGCATGAAACCGCCGTGCTCGCGCGGCGCCTACACAGATAAAAAAAATGCCTTCACCGTATTTGGCCCGGGAGTTGGCCTTCCACGGACTTCGGCACCAACAGACCCGATCCCGATGGTCGCGGGGCCGTGGCCTGTGCGTGCGCAGTAAAGGGCTCAGGTGGGCTGCGTCGGCAGAGACTTGTTTGTTGTGGTCCTTTCTGTAAAGTCGGAGTGGGCAGGGGTTCGCTGCTGCCAACGATGTCGTTTCGCATCGTATCCTCCTCCTGCTCCTCCTCCTCCGCGTCCTCCTCCTGCTGCTGCTGCTGCTGCTCCTCCTCCTCCTCATCCTCCTCCTCCCCCTCCTCCTCTTACTCCTCCCCGCATCCCCACTTTTACTCCTCCTCCTCCTCCTCCTCCTCCTCCTCATCCTCTGCCTCGTCCTCCCCTCGCCCCCTTCTCTTATCCCCTCATTTCGTCCTTTGTGTTCATCTGCAAGTTGTGGGCGCCGTTCAGCCTGATGCCGACGAGCTTCTCGACCTTCTCACGCGTAGGGTAGTCCCACTTGGGGTATGGCTATCCTTCCTTCTCTTTCTCCTCACCTGCATGGAGGAGGAGTAGGAGGCTGAGGCCGAAAAGGAAGAAGGGGAGGAACGGTGGTGACGAAGAGGAGGGTGAGGAGGAGGAGGAGGAGGAGGAGGAGGAGGAGGAGGAGGAGGAGGAGGAGGAGGAGGAGGAGGAGGAGGGAGGAGGAGGAGGAGGAGGAGGAGGAGGAGGAGGAGGAGCAGGAGGAGCAGGAGGAGGAGGAGGAGGAGGAGGAGGAGGAGGAGGAGGAAGAGGCTGCTCGAGCCTGGGGCAGGTAGACAGCCTCTTCGAGGAGGTCCTGCTCGAGACGCGGGGCCATCGAGGCCTCCTTGGCGCCGTCTTCGCGGAGGCCCTTTCCGCGGCGAGCTTCCGGCGGCGCCACCTTTGGGCCCTCCTTTCGGTGGTCGACGGCGAGGTTGGCGGCGCGCACAGTCCAGGTCTCCCGGGTGGGGTCCGGCCCAGACGTCGGGCGGCTCGACAGCAACTCGAGTCGGACTTCGAAGCCCCCGAAGTCGAATCGCATCGAATCGGAGGAACCGAAGTGAGCCCCGGCGGCGGGCCGGCTCTCGACGTGCCGCCGAGGAGGACCACGGCCACGGCGCGCGGCGGCTGCCGCGCCGCCGCCGGCGCCCGCAGCGCCGCCAGCCGACTCAGGCGGCCCGGCTGTTCCATTTCGGTCTTTGGGGGCCGATGCCGGGCCCCAGGGCCGTCAAGCAGCCGCCCGGGATGAAACACTGGCCTCCCAGACCCCTCGAGTCATGAAAAAATCACGACGGGCGGGTTTTCGTTAAGTTCGGCCTCTGGGGGCCCTTACCGGGCCTTGGGAGCGTCAAAAAACGACTCGGGATGAAAAACCGGTCCCGGGGAAGGGGTCTGGACCTCTTAGGGTCGCGTCATGAAAAAATTATGGCGTCGGGGGTCTGGGCCTGGGGACGGGGTCGAGAGTTTTGTGGGCCCACGTATCGGAGAGAAATCGGGACGCGTGTTGTCCGAGGAAGAGACGGGGTCGGAGGATCATGCTACACCGTCGATGCATCGGCGATGCGGCTCGATGTGGAGCCCGATTTCTTCCACGCTGATGTTGCAGATGCGTCGCCGACGACGCCGATCGGCGATGCATCGGCGATGCGGCGCGACCCTCCGACTTCATTGGGATGCCCCCAGACAAGGGGGTGGCGTGAGGGGGGCAGCCTTCTAAGAAGGCGGGTGCTTCTTAGAAGGAGGGGGCGGGAAGGGCCAGAGAGCGCTTGGGAAGGCTTCCGAAGCCAGGGGAACTTTCAAAACGACCCTTGCCGCTGCCTTCAAGAAACGGCCCGTTTTTCGTAGAAGGCGGCCCACTTTGCGCCACCCCTGGTGCAAGGGTTGGCTCGAGCCGACCCAGACATCCAGTGTCTTGAACACATCAAGGCGAAGACTTTTCGCAGTTTTCGTCCTCAGGAGGCCCTCGCCAGACCCAGGGACCGTCAAACAACGATTCAGGATAGAAAGATGGCTCGCCTGGTCAGCTTGAGCCGCCTTCACAGAGGTCCAGGATGTCTTCAGCTAGCCGCTTGGAAAAATTGTACGCGCTCGATCGCGCCGAATAAACCTCACATGGCGCGGCTTCATTTGTCATGGCTGGGCGCGGAGTCAGCCAGCCTCAAGCAGATAGTGTGTTCATGTATCTGCTTCCTGCCTCTATGCTCGGACTTTGACACTTCCCCTCGTTTGAACCGCGCCTCCTCTCCCTCCTGCCCTCCTTTCCTATCTCGTTCTCCTCGTATCTTGTTTTCTTGCTCTCTTCCCACTCAAACCTCCTCCTCCTCCTCCTCCTCCTCCCTCCTCGTGCCCTTCATTCCTCCCTCCTCCACCCCTCCTTCTCACTCCTTCCTCCTCTGCATCTTTTTCCTTCGTCTTACTCCTTGTCCTGCTGCTGCTGCTGCTGCTGCTCCTCGTCAGCCCTCGCGTGGCGGCGCTAGTGTAGAGGACTTGACTTAAGTAATCCTCGCAATGTAGATACCTTTACTATTGTGTTGGCTACTCAGTCCTGTGCACTTAACCGCAAGGGCATTCCAATCCATTCCATTGGCCTCCCTGCTCCTCCTCCCTTCCCTCTCCTCCGTCCCCTCTCCCTCCCTCCCTCCTCCCTCCCTCCCTCCCCAGCTCCCTCCCTCCCCTCTCTCCCTCCTCCCTCCATCCTCCCTCCCCCTTCTCTTCAACAGGCGCTGCGGAGCATGATGCTTCCTCCTGCCGAGTTGGTCCGATCCCCCCTCTCTTCTCCCTCCCCACCCCACCCCCACTCCTCCCCTTCACAGTCTCGCGCCGCCGCCGTCGCCGCCGCCGCCGCCTTCGTCGTCGCCACCGCCGCCGCCGTTGTCGTCGTCGTCGTCGTCGTAGTCCTCGTCGTCGCCGCCTCCGCGCGGGGAGGCTGGCCTCCGCAGCGAGCTCGCCGAGGTGACGGCGGACCAGCTCGTGGCGGCCTTCCTCAAGATCCGTGACCCGGGGCGCCTGGGCGACCGCGGCTTCGCCTTCTTGCGATCCATCTTCGAGGAGGCCGGGAGGAGGAGGCGGAGGATGAGGAGGAGGAGGAGGATGAGGATGAGGAGGGCGAGAACGAGGGAGGGGTGAGAGATATGATGATGCTGATGATGCTGCTGCTGATAATGCTGTTGATGCTGCTGATGATGATGCTGATGTTGCTGCTGATGCTGATGATGCTGATGATTATGCAGATGATGCTGATGCTGATGATGCTGATGATCATGCTTGATGGTCGATGATTGCTGAGGATGTAGGCGACGATGATGATGATGCTGATGATGGTGATGATGATGCTAACGATACTTATGATTATGATGATGCAGAGGACGATGATGACTCTGATGATAATGATGCTGATGATGCTGATGATGATGCTGATGATCATGATGCTGATGATGACGATGCTGATGCTGATGCTAATGCTTATGCTAATGCTGATGTTGATGCTGCTGATGACGATGCTGATGCTGACGACCATGATGCTGATACTGATGATGCTGATGCTGATGCTGATGATGCTGCTGATGATGATACTGATGCTGATGACGGTGATGATGCTGGTGACGATGATGATGGTAATGGTGCTGATGCGTGTAAAGGTGATGGTGATAATCATGATGATGCTGATGGTAATACTGATGATGATGCTGTTAATGATGATGATGCTGATGATGATGATGATGATGATGATGAGGCTGATGATTTCTGACGATTATGGTGGTAAAGATGAATATGCTGATGCTGATGCTGATGGTTTATGATGATGATGCTGATCATGATGATGATTCTGTAGCTGATGATGACGACCCTGATGATGATGATGATGCTGATGATGATGCTGATGCTGACGATGAAGGTTATGAGGGCGATGCTGATCATGATGCTGATGATGATGGTGAGATAATGATAATGACGACGATGATGATGCTGACGATGCTGATGCTGATGATGATGCTGATGATGATGATGCTGATGATGCTGATGATGATGATGATGCTGATGCTGATGCTGATGCTGATGATGATGATGCTGATGATGATGCTGATGCTGATGATGATGATGATGATGATGCTGATGATGATGATGATGATGATGCTGATGATGATGATGATGATGATGATGATGATGATGATGAGATGATGATGATGATGATGATGATGATGATGATGATGATGATGATGATGATGATGATGGTGGTGATGATGATGATGATGATGATGATGATGATGATGATGATGATGATGATGATGATGATGATGATGATGATGATGGGGGAAGGGAGGAGGAGGAGGAGGAGGAGGAGGAGGAGGAGGAGGAGGGAGGAGGAGGAGGATCGAGGCTGAGGATCGAGGTTTGGGATCGAGGTTGAGGATCGAAGGGGAGGAGGTGCAGGCGAACGAGGAAGATCAATATTCTTGGATGATTTCGAGTCCTTTATGGGCCCCTGGGGACCTCTGGAGGCGTCCGAGGAACTCCAGGGATCTCCAGAGATCCCCAAAGCCTTTCTGCGCCCCACCTTCCAGGAGGCGTCCCTCCCTGGAGTCCCAGGGCGAAGTCCAACGAGGAGGAGGACGAGGACCTGAGGAAACCCAGGATGCACCACCGATGCTGCCATTCAGAGCCTCGTTTTGAAAAAGAACACCCTTGCATCCTTTCCAGTTTCGTAAGGTTTGACATGTCCAGCGAGAAGTGGGTTTTGACAAGGCTTCGCACTCCATCCGTAAAACCCTGGCACGATGTTACATGTTGTGTCATCCATGTTGGTAAAGTTCCAAGCGATAGCCACTGCTTGCACAGGAGCCGCCCCCCCATCCTCATGGCCGTTGCGCAACTTCGCGTTTCAGTCTTCATAGCCAAAAAGTAACAAGAGAGATCCCCCTCTCAACAAGAGCCGACCTCCGTTAGCTGTTATCAAGGGCGTCGCCCTCTGCCACCTGCCCCCTTGCTATCATCATGGGGCATGCCAGATATACGTTGTGATGCCTGGGCGCCGGCTTGAAGCAATATCGCAACCTCATGCGATAAGGGCTGCTCATCGTGAGGTCATTTGCAAAGGGTCTTGGCTTTCGGGGCGCGATTCTGGCGAAGCTTGCAAGGGCTCATCGCAACGAGGGCGCGAGTGTGGCGTGGCTTTGGAGGATTGTGGTTTCGGGGGCGCGAGCCTTGTATAATCTACAAGGGATCGTGGCCTCGGGGGTGCGAGCCGAGTGTCATTTACGAGGGCTCGTCGCTCAGGGGGCGCGCGTGTGGTGCAATTTGAGAGGGGTCGTGGCTTTGGGGCAGCAGATCTGGCGCGATTTGTGAGAGATCGTGGCCTCGGGAGCGCGAAGGCATAGTGATTTAGGAGACATTGTAGCCTCGTGGGCGCGAGTCTGGGCTGCACTGCAAGGGACTCTGGCCTCGTGGGCGCGAGCGTGGCGTAATTTACGAGGGATCGTGGCCTCGGGGGCGCGAGTGCTGAGTAATTTGCGAGGGGTCGTGGCCTCGGGGGCGCGAGTCTAGAGTAACTGTCTCGCATCAGATGTTCTGGGCCCTCTGGAGAGTTCTGAGAACCCCATGGGGGAAGCGGTGGCCAGTGTGGTGTTCGCCCTTCCCCCCCCCTTCCCAGCGCCCTCGTGCAGACAACAGCAGTTGACAGTCGGAAACGGAAGCTGGAACTAATTCTTTCATTGGGAACTGGAAATTGCTATTGGTGCAGGTTGCAGGTTCAGGCGGGTATAACTTTCAGACGAATGTGCGCGCCGCTCAGGCGAGAACCACATTTTGAAACCGACCCGCCCTTCAGTTGGAGACGAGTGTGCGCGGGGCTGAGGCGAGAGCCACACTCTGAAAGCTATCCGTCTCCACTCTTGGCAGCTGAGGACGACTGTGCTGTGGCGCCAGGGTGAGAGCAGCAGTTTGAAGGTTACCCGCCCTCCATCCGTGTAGCCGTTGGAATTGTCAAGCTTCCGGATCACAAGTGGTGAGGCAGTTTCAGCCTGGTCAGGTGACGCAGCGAACAAACATGCGTGATTTGCAATGAGGGGGCGGAAGAGGCGCAGCGACGGGGAGGGGAAGGTAGAGGAGGGAGGGAGGGAGGGAGGGATGGCAAGAGGGAGGGATGGAGAGGGATGGAGGGAGGGAGGGAGGGAGGGAGGGAAGAGGAGGAGGAGGAGGAGGAGGAGGAGGAGGAGGAGGAGGGAGGAGGAGGAGGGAGGAGGAGGGAGAGGAAGGGGAAGAGGAGGAAGTGGAGGAGGAGGAGGAGGAAGAGGACGAGGAGGAGAACGAGGAGGAGGAGGAGGAGTAGGAGGAGGAGGAGAACGAGGAGGAGGAGGAAAAGCACTAGTATGAAAAGGAGGGGAATGAGGACGACAAGAAGGGGGAGGAGGCGGAGGGACAGGAGACGGAGGAGGATGAGGACATATGAGGAGGTGTCCGAGGGAAGAGACAGGACGTATGCAGCGGAGAATGCGGATGTGCAGGATTAGGGCGATTGAAGAGGAGGAATAGAAGCAGGAGGAGGAAGAGGAGGGAGAAGGAGGAGGAGGAGAAGGAGGATGAGGACGGGGGAGGAGGGCTAGTGTAAACCCAAGGCGCATCAACGATGTTGCAATAAACGCTCCATCCAAGCTCCCTGCTCATAGGTCCTTACAGGCATGTGTTTTTTTCACTTCTAGAAGTGCCCCGTTGAAGACACTGACTGAGAACCCATAATCGTGCCAGAACACCACCCCTCGGATTGCAACGCCTCAAATAACTGTACTATTGCGTCCTGAATATCCTGCATCGTACCAGAATAACATCCCTGGGACTTCACACCGCGAATCAAAGTGACTTTTGCATCCTGGCATTCTTGAGTCGTGCCAGCAATCCATTCTTGGGGTGTCAACCACAAGAACCAATTGAACGAATGTGCGCGGCGCTCAGGCGAGAGTCCCATTTTGAAGAGGCGGCGTCCTCCATCCGTGAAGTTCTCGCAAACTTTGAGACGAGTGTGCACGGCGGTATGGCGAGAACCGCATTTTGAGAACGATCCGCCCTATATCTGTGAAGCTCCTTGCAAACATTGACACTGCTGTGCGCGGCGCCAAGGCGATTAAAAAAACCGGCCTGGCCTGCAACCGTTTGAGGGCGGCGCTGCGGCGAGAGCCGCATTTTGAAAACGCCCCCCCCTCAATCCGTGAATCTCTTGCGAGCTTTACAAGTCGAATGTGCGCTGCGCTAACGCGAGAGTCACACACATACACATATATATATACACACATATAGAAAACGGACCGCCTTCCGTCCGTGAACAACTTGCAAACTCATCAGGCGAATGTGCCCGGAGCTAAGGCGAGAGCCACGCTTTGAAAACGGCCCGCCCTCGATCCGTGAAGCTCTTGCACACGTTTAACGCGAGTGTGCGCGGCGCTATGGCGAGAACCACATGTAGAAAACGACCCGCCCTCAATCCGTGAAGCTCCTGCCAGCTCATAAGGCGAATGTGCGCGGAGCTAAGGCGGGAGCCACACATTGAAAACGAACCGCCCTCTATCCGTGAAGCTCTTGCGAACCTTTCAAACGCATGTGCGCGGCGTAAAGGCGAGAGGCTCAGGTTGAAAAAGGCGCGCCCTCCATCCGTGAAGCCTTTGCAAACTGATAAGACGAATGCGCGCGGGGCTGAGACGATAACCACGTTTTGAGAACGACTCGCCCTCCATCCGTGAAGCTCTTGCGAACTCTTAGAACGAGTGTGCGCGGGGCGGAGGCGAGAGCCACATCTTGAGAACGACCCGCTCTCCATCCGTGAATAAGTTGGGAACTTCTGGGGCGAATCTACGCGGTGCTCCTGGGAGGGCCACATTTTGAAAAAAAGACCCGCCCTCCATCCGTGACGATCTTGCAACCCTGTAAGACACATGTGCGCGGCGCCAAGGCGAGAGCCACATTTTGAAAACGACCCGCTCTCCATCCGCGAACCTGTTGCGAGCCTTTAAGACGAACGGTCGCGGCGCCAAGGCGAGAGCCACAATTGGAAAACGGCCCTCACCCGCTGTGTAAAACTGTTGTGCCGATTTTCAGAGTCAGGATCATAAAGGGTGAGGAGGTTTGGCGAACGTCCCGGCCCGCCCTACGGACAGCTCGGGGTGGGACAGGGAGGATGATGGGGAGGAGGAGGTGGAGGAGGAGGAGGAGGAGAAGGAAAAGGAGGAGGAGGAGGAGGAAAAGGAAGAGGAGGAGGAGGAGAAGGAGAAGGAACGGGAGGAGGGGAGGAGGAGGAAGAGAGGAGGAGGAGGAGGAAGAGAGGAGGAGGAGGAGGAGGAGGAGGAGGAGGAGGAGGAGGAGGAGGAGGAGGAGGAGGAGGAGGAGGGGGAGGAGGAGGAGGAGGAGAACCAGGGTAAACACAAGACTCAGCAACGATGTTGAGAGAAAGCCTTCCTCCAAGATCCCTGTTCATAGGCCCCAGACAAGGGTTCATGTGCACTGAGGGAGCTGCCCAGTTGGGGGACGTGTGAACATCTTGACGCGTGCCAGAACACCATTCCCAGGACTTCAACGCCACGAGATAAGCTGACTGTTACGCCTTGGCGATCATGAATCGCGTCAGAGAACCATTCCTGGGACCTCAGCACCGCGAATCAACATTGTCACTGCGCCCCGACAGTTCTGAATCGTTTCAAAGCACCATGTTTGATACGTTAACCATGATACTCAGCGAACAAAGTTTTAACACGAATATGCGCGGCGCTAAGGCGAGAGTCGCACTTTGGAAACGGCCCGCTAACGACTGTGCGCGGCGCTGAGGCGAGAACCACATTTTGAAAACGACCCGCCCTCACTGCATGAAGCTGTTGCGAATGTTTAAAACACATGTGCGAGGCGCTGAGGTGAGAGCCACATCTTGAAAACGATCCGCCCTTCATCCGTGAAGCTGCCGTAATTACCTAACAGCGAAGACTGATAGGTTTCTAGTGGTGTCAAAAGAGAGCAGCAGATGACTCCACAGGGGGGTCGGGGCGGGATCTGGGGCGGCTGCCGCCGAAGCCCAAATCGCCTGGGACATCCTCGCAAAATCGCTCTTGGCGCTGCTAGAACTCCATTCCCGGCGTACATTTTGGATGCCCGGAGCCAACTGTAGGCCACTTCGTGCTCTTCGACTTCCCAGAACTCCATTCCCGGCACATTTTGGATGCCCGGAGCCAACTGTAGGCCACTTCGTGCTCTTCGAGTTCCCAGAACTCCATTCCCGGGCCACATTTTGGATGCCCGGAGCCAACTCTAGGCCACTTCGTGGTCTTCGAGATTCCAGAACTCCATTCCCGGGCCACATTTTGGGTGCCCGGAGCCAACTGTAGGCCACTTCGTGGTCTTCGAGTTCCCAGAACTCCACTCACTCCCGGGCCACATTTTGGATGCCCGGAGGCTGAGGCGCTGAGGCTGAGGCTGACGCTGAGGCAGGCTGAGGCAGACGCTGAAGCCGGCTGATGCTCAGGCAGGCTGAGGCTGAGGCTGAGGCTGAGGCAGGCTGAGGCAGGCTGAGGCTGAGGCCGAGGCTGAAGGCAGACTGAGGCTGAGGCTGAGGCAGGCTGAGGCTGAGGCTGAAGGCTGAGGCTGAGGCTGAGGCTGATGCAGGCTGAGGCTGAGGCAGGCTGAGGCCGCGGGAGTATGCGAGAGCGCAGCAGGCTGAGGCTGAGGCAGGCTGAGGCTGAGGCTGAGGCTGATGCAGGCTGGGGCCGAGGCAGGCTGAGGCCGCAGGAGTATGCGGGAGCGCAGCAGGCTGAGGCTGAGGCAGGCTGAGGCTGAGGCTGAGGCTGATGCAGGCTGAGGCTGAGGCAGGCTGAGGCCGCGGGAGTATGCGGAGCGCAGCAGGCTGAGGCTGAGGCAGGCTGAGGCTGAGGCTGAGGCTTATGCGGGAGCGCAGCAGGCTGAGGCTGAGGCAGGCTGAGGCTGAGGCTGAGGCTGAGGCTGAGGCAGGCTGAGGCCGCAGGAGTATGCGGGAGCGCAGCAGGCTGAGGCTGAGGCAGGCTGAGGCTGAGGCTGAGGCTGATGCAGGCTGGGGCCGAGGCAGGCTGAGGCCGCAGGAGTATGCGAGAGCGCAGCAGGCTGAGGCTGAGGCAGGCTGAGGCTGAGGCTGAGGCTGATGCAGGCTGAGGCTGAGGCAGGCTGAGGCTGAGGCCGAGGCTGAAGGCAGACTGAGGCTGAGGCTGAAGCTGGCTGAGGATGAGGCCGAGGCAGGCTGAGGCTGAAACTGAGGCAGGCTGATGCTGAGGCAGGCCGAGGCTGAGGCTGTGACTGTGACTGCCGTTGCCGCTGCGACTGTCATCGCGAATGCGACTGCGACTGCGAAAACAGCAGAATTCTACAACTGGATTCTGATCTGAATCTTAAGGGGAGTGCTTCCAGATATGTTTCTAGACATCGCTGTTAGGTTGCTTTGCCGGGATAAACTTTTTAAAAAGAATGTGCGCGGCGCTATTCAAGAGCCACATTTTGAAAACGAGCCGCCCTCAATCCGTGAAGCTCTGGCAAATTTCGAAGACAACTGTGCGTGGCGCAAAGGCGAGAGACACAGGTTGAAAAAGGCACGCCCTCCATCCGTGCAACTTTTGCTGTGCACTTTCAAAAACGAAAGTGTGCGGCGCTAAATCGAGAGCCGCGTTTTGAAAACGGCCCGCCCTCCATCCGTGAAGCTCTTGCAATCAGTTAAAAGGACTGGGCGCGGCTCTGAGGCGAGAGCCACATTTTGAAGCCGACCCGCCCTCACGCCGTGAAACTCTTGTAAACTTCCAAAAAGAAAGTGCGCGGCGCTAAGGCGAGAGCCACATTTTGAGAATGGCCCGCCCTCAATCCGTAAAGCTTTTGCGACTTTGTTCAAACGAATGTGCGCTGGGCTGAAGCGAGAGCAAGACTTTGAAAAAGACCCGCCCTTAATCCTTGAAGATCTTGTACTACTTTAAGACGGCTGTGCGCGGTGCTGAGGCGAGAGCCACACATTGAAAACGAACCGCCCTCAATCTGTGAAGATCTGGCTACTTTCGAAACGAATGTGCGAGGCGCTGCGGTTAGAGCCACATGTTGAAAACGACCCGCCCTCCATCCGTGAAGCTTTTGTAATCTTTGAAGACGAATTCGCGCGGCGCTAAGGCGAGAGCCACATTTTGAAAACGAGCCGCCCTCAATCCGTGAAACTCTTGCGATTAAAAAAACGAATGGTCCCGGCGCTAAGGTGAAAGCCACATTTTGAAAAGACCCGCTCTTCATCGGTGAAACTGTTGTCAAATTTTGTATCAGGGTCGTAAATGGTGAGGAAGTCTCAGGCGAAACGCCTGGCCCGCCATTCCGACCAGCTTCGGGGTGCGACAGGAAGGAATTATTTACGAGGACAAGGGATGGAGGAGGAGGAGGCGGCGGAGGAAGAGGAGGAGGAGGAGGAGGAGGAGGAGGAGGAGCAGGAGGAGGAGGAAGAGGAGGAGGAGGAGGGACTCGGCCGCTGCAGGCCGACGAGGACGGAGACGGGGCGCTGAGCCGCGCCGAGATCAAGGACTCGCTGTACACCGACAAGGCCTCAGGGGGTCGGGGTCATTTTAAGGACAAACAAGAGACTGTTAGGGTCCGCTGGTGACCGGGGCTATCGGGCCTGTCCGCCCTCCCCCTCCCCTTTTGAAAAAACCTGACCTTGTGTCGGCTGCGCAGGTCCGAAAGGGGCATGCTGTACTGGTGCGCCGCGCGGGCATGCGCGGGGCAGCCCAAAGCGACAACGATAGGTTATCGGCCAGCTCCCCCCCACCCTCCCCGCCTACGGATAAGCCGGGTAATATCGCCGACAAACACACAACATTTCCAAGCTACCAGACATACATTTTCGGAGGCCCGCGCGGAGTTCTTGGATTTCTCGGCGTCACCCCAACATACTCATAATATATGTGCGTCGCCCCCCACAGGGGCGACGCGCGCACCGAGAAATCTTATAGTATATGCGTCGTGGCGGGCGCTTTCTGGCCACGCCGCTCGGGAAACGATATACTACAAGATGGGTATACTATCTGTTCGGGTCGGACGCGCGCCTCCAAGGAGGACACATCGTATCAGTATGTCCCTGTGCGTCCCATGGATCGGCGCGGGAGCCGGCTGGCGGCGCCTCCGGCGCCGGCCCTGGCGCTCTTCGCCAGTGCGAGCGAGCGCCCGGCTGCCAGGAGCTGGGGCGGCCACGGCTCGGGCGTTACGGCCCCAGCGCCTGGGCGCGGAGGCCGTCGGAGTGCGTGCGCCAGGAGAGGGCCGAGATCAAGGAGATCTTCAGTGTGCCTGCGTTCGGCCCTTGGAGGCCCTGGGAGGCTGTCGTGGAGGCCGTCGGAGACCCTCGGAGACCGTCGGAGGCTCTCGGGGCCCCTCTGGAGACTCCCGAGGCGTGCGCCCGAGCGACCGCGACGCCTGGAGCGTTAGGGTTTGGCCTTCCTTTTTGGGTTTCGGGGGGCCCTTCCTCGTGGCCACGGTAGTGCGCCCTGCGACCACTCGCGCACCCTACCCCCGAGGGTCCAGTCGACCGGGCGCACTCGACGGCGGGGTATCGGCCATCCCCGCAGGGGTTCGCCTGGCTGCATGCATCCTTCGAGTGCTGAGCCCCTGGCCGGTGCTTCCGACATCCGACCTGCGGGGGCAGGCTTTACATGTCGTTGCCGAGGACGCGGCTCGGAAAAACGGCCAGGGCGCCAACCGGGAGGGCCCTGGGGATCGGGTCTGAACGAACCTCGTCTTACGCCAGGTTGTGGCCGCCTTGCCGCGGCGGCGACGCAGGCACGGGCCGTCACGGATGCAAGCCGCCACCGGCCTGAACTGGGCGAACCTTGGACGAATTCTATTGTCGGGTAGTGTAGAGGCCGCTCGATGTCGAAAGGTCTGCGCAGAGACGGGGACTACTGTGCATGCGGGTGAGGCAGGAACCAGCCGTGCCCCTCCTTCGGGGGGGAGGAGGGGGGCAGGAGGAGGGGCAGGAGGCATTCCATGTTTTCCCCCTGTTCCAAGATGGGCCAGGCGGGAAGGAGCAGGGGAGGGAGGCGGAGGCGTCATACTAATTGTTGACTCTTCGCGTATCCCCACCAGCTGCCTAATTTATAGGACGTGGCGTAGTCGCTTCCCTCGTTGACGGAGCGCGGTTGCTCCGTGTCGCTCGCGAATCAAATCCCCACCAGCCCATCCAGAAACGATGCCCAGTGGAGTTGAGGTGATCAGGGAAGTAGGGGAGCATGTAGAAGAACAAAGGGCGGGGGAAGCCGTCATATACCCCAAAAGGGGGAGTACGGAGGAGGAATCGTCGTCGTCGTCGTCCTCGTCGTCGTCGGAGGAAGAGGAGGAGGAGGACGACGAGGAGGAAGAGGAGGAGGAGGCGGAGTAGGGCGAGTTCGATGAGGACGAGAATGAGGAGGAGGAGGAGGAGGAGGAGGAGGAGGAGGAGGAGGAGGAGGAGGAGGAGGAGGAGAAGGAGGGATAGTTGGGTATCTCGGGGATCCTCTTGAGGCCTCGTATGGGGTCTCTCGGGAGCCTCTTGGGCGCCTTTTGGGGCTGTCTGCGCGCCTCTTGGGGCTCTCCTGGGCTGCTCTTGGGAGCTTTAGGGGCGCTCTTGGGACCATCTTGGAGGACATCGATCAAACAAGAGGGGAGCTTCAATTAGCCTCCCCCCTCGGGATCACCAAACATCGCCTCCTGGACCCCTCTTGGGACGCTCTTGGGGCGCTCTTGAGCGCTCTTGGGGCCGTCTTGGGCTCTCTTGGGCCTCTCTTGGGGCCCTCTTGGGCCATCTTGGAGCCATCTTGAGGCCTCGGATGGCCATCGGAAGCGAAAAGACGAGAAAGCAACAACCATGGATTTTCCATTGGTTTTGGGATTGTGGCTTCCTCCTTGGAGATCTCGGAGGCCTCTTGGAGCCGTCTTGGAACGTTATTGGGGCCTCATGGAGCATCTTGGGAGCCATCTTGGGGCATCGTGCTCTATCTTGAGCCATCTTGGAGCTCATCTTGGACTCTCAGGGCCCCCCTGGGAGGCGTCTTGGGCCATCCTGGACGCTCCACCCCCTCGCCGCCCCCCCCTCCAGGTCCAGGGGAGGGGGTAGGGGGAGGGGTCAAGACGCCCTCCCCGCCCGCAAGCCGTCTCGCCCACTCCCACCCGCCCTTCCAGCACATACGTAGCACCCGAGCCTGGACCGAGACGCAGCGTATTCAGCAGTCGTCTTTGGATGGGCAGCTACTGGGGGCGAATCCGCCGCCGCCGCCGCCGCCTCCGCCGTCGCCGCCGCCGCCGCGCCGCCCGCCGCCGCCGCCGCCGCCGCCGCTGTCCGCCGCCGCCGCTGCCAAATCGCCGCCGCCGCAGCCGCTGCCGCGCAGCCGCTGCCGCCACCGCCATCGCCGCCGCCGCCACCGCCGCCGCCGCTGTCCGCCGCCGCCGCCGCCGCAGCCGCCGCCGCCCCCCGCCGCCGCCGCCGCCGCCACCGCCGCCACAGCCGCCGCAGCCGCCGCAGCCGCTGCAGCCGCCGCCGCCAAGTGTACTCTGTATTGCTTTTTGACAGGGATGTTGGGGGAGGCCGCATCGGGTTTGCTGCGCATGCTCCGAATTTGGAGGCAGAGTGTGTTTTGCATGGTTTTTTTTGTACCAGGGATGGTGGGGGGGCCCTCATTGATTCGGGTTGGCTCCCGGTCGCCTGGGGGATGGGGTGTATATTAATAGGGAACAGTGATCAAGACACCCTCCAGATAGCAAGCCGTCTAGCTCACTCCCACCCGCCCTCCCAACACACAAGTAACACCCGAGCCTCAGCATGTTCTGCGGTCGTCTTTGGATGGGCAACTATTGGGGACCAAAAGCGAGTCCACGTGCGCGACGCTGGGGCGAGGTGCGCCACGCGTGCCAGGCGCGCCACGCGCGCCAGGCACCCCTGGGGCCCGAGCGTGCCAGGCACGCCTACTGCGCCAGATGCTCCTTCCAGCCGCGCCAGGTGCGCCACGTCCGGGGCACGTGCAGAGTGTGTCAGGTAAGCCTGCGCACGGGACAGCACACTTCGGGAAACATGTCGGCCACCACCATCCATGTCGAAAACCAATGCCCACCACTGTGTCTGGTGGGCCTGCGCGCAGCAGGCCATTCGCCACCACCCCCGCCGTCCCTGACAAAAGCCACTTGACAGTGATCGCGCGGCGGCCGCGCACTATCCAGATTTAGCCGCGAGGTGCATCCTGTATTGTGTGTTTGTCAGGGAGGGTAACTCTGCGCGCAGCTGACAATATGCTGACACCCCCGCCGTCCCTGTCGAAAACAATACAAAGTGCCCGCGGGCCTCACGAACATGACTCCAGACTTTGCCCCAAAGTGTATTGGGTAGTGTTCTTTGACAGGGACG